AACTTAGAAGAATTTTTCTTGAAAGATATGATTTTTCAATTAGATTTTAATTTATTTAATTGCATGATGTTATTAACTGCAGTTGACTTTTGTTTGTTCAACTGTTGAAAGATGTTGGGAGGGGCAGCAAGGAAAGTTGGGGAACCACTGCTATTTAGAGGTTGAATTCCCATGGAATAATACTGCCTCCCCCATGCTTATGCTTTTATTGTTTTTTTATTATTATTATTTTCATATAGAAATCTTTTTAAAGCCTTCACATTTTTCTCTCTTGAAGGAAACATTTCTGAGTCATACTTTGTGGTTATTAACCCATAGCAGTCTTTAATCTTGACGTTTCCTAGTCATTGTTTCCTCCCCACGCCTAGTCTGAGGTATTTATGTAATTTCCGGTTGGATCTTTATTAAGTATTTCTGCAATGCAGATAAATAGCCTACATCAGTAATTTTGCACATATGTAAATATAAGCATAACACACTTATGAAGAAGAGCCTAATGAATTGGCTGTTTTAATAGATTCTGTTGTTAATTCTGTTGTTAATTTGTTTTAGGGTTTATACGACATCCACATCAAGCTGCAGAGCGTCCCCTTCCTGCACTGGGAGGCTCCTGCTACCTCCCACTGGCTCACGGCCAGGTATGTCCTGTCTGACTCGTTGAAGGCTTGCTAACGCATTCTCTTTGGTTATCTGTTACACATCAAAAGATGCCAGATTATTTAAATCATCTCTCATAGTACTTGTACTACTTTTTGGGGGAAATTTTCCATGTTTTGTCATGTTATAAACTCACCCTTTGCAACTTTATTCATAAAAGTTTCTAATCCTACTGAGGAAAAGAATCCCCACAGCATTATAGTGCCATGATCGTGTTTTAGAGGCAGTGGTGTGTTTAGAGTATATGCTTTATTAGCTTTAGGGCAGCGTAGGAATCTGCATGTTGGCAAAGAAGTTAAAAAGCAAAATATTATGTGGATACCTTTTTTTTTTTTTGAATAACAATGTGTGGTTTTAAAGCAACTAAATGTGGAAAAGTTTCCAAATGTATGAATGCCTTTGCAGTATACCTGTTGACCCTTGTTTTTGAGGCAGCGTTGCTCTGCTCTGCTGATTGGCCCGTTTCTTTTTGTCCCCCCGCCTTCACAAACCAGGGAGGTGATGAGTTCTCCGGTCATCTGCCTGAACAGAATCGAGAAGGTTGGAACAATCGTCGACATCCTCAGCAACACTTCAACCAATCACAACGGCTTCCCTGTCGTCGTGCAGGTTTCTGTCGATGATGAGGTATTGTTTGGCTGCATGGTTGGAATTATATAGTTAATTAATTTCTAAATTACTGCTATGGAGGATTTTTTTCCCCCCTCCAAATCTAAAAGAAGCAGCTTCTTGTTTAATAATCTCTCCACTCTTTTTGTTTTTCCGTCTCCAAGCCGGCTAAACTCTGCGGCCTAATACTCCGCTCTCAGCTCATCGTCCTCCTCAAGCACAAGGTAAAGTCCTCCTTTGGCTGTGCATGATCACACTGGAGGCAGAGAATCTCGTTAAGTTTTTTTCCTTGTTCTCTCCCCGTCAGGTGTTTGTGGAGCTGGCTCGGTCCCGGCTCACTCAAAGGAAGCTCCAGCTGAAAGATTTTAGGGACGCCTACCCGCGGTTCCCTCCCATCCAGAGCATCCACGTGTCTCAGGATGAGAGGGAGTGCATGATGGACCTCACCGAGTTCATGAACCCAACTCCCTACACTGTACCGCTGGTAAGGAACACGTCATCCGATTTTATCTGTGGAGTGGAGGAAATCCAAGCTGAACACCTTTGATTTGCAGGAGACGTCTCTTCCCCGTGTGTTTAAGCTGTTCAGAGCACTCGGACTCAGGCATCTGGTGGTAGTTGACGATGAGAACAGGGTAAGTTAATTTTTGATGCCAAACTCTGTAGTTTACTGGGGTTTTAGAGCAACACAAAGTGGGGCATAGATATGGAATGGAGGAAAATATCCATTGATTTGCACAATCACCTGTTGGTGACTTTTCAGCTTCAAATCTTCTAGAGCAGAGGTCATGGATTAGCGGACCACGAGCCAGATACGGACCCACCTGCTGGCTAATACGGATCCAACCTGATTTAAAACATTTATAAATTACCGCATGTTGTCTAACTACACTTGCGCCGCTTGTTCTGTTAATATGGTAAAGCCTTCCGGAGCGTCCGGGACCAGGCTTCACGTACATACATACAAATTAGCCAATGAGCTGTCAGTCTGGGTCGCTGCGGCGAGCCACTTTTAGACACAGCAGGCAAACCTTTGGTAACTCGGGTGATGGGTAAGAAGGAGAATATGATGAGAAAAGGAGAGTACAGATAGTGTGGACTGCTGGAAGAGGCACCGTGAACTGGTGAAAGAAAAGTGCAATGGTGTGCTCAAAGATGACCCTGCACATTTTGCGTATGTTTTGCCCAACCTGCTGCTGTGAAGCATCATTCTCCACCATGAACAGAATCAAAAATAAATATGGATCCAGGCTCAAAATGAGCACCTTGATATGTGCTTGAGAATGGCTTTGTTGCCATTTAAACTCATTTTAAAAACCTTGCAGGGCAGCCTAAAGCCCACTGCTCTCATTAAGCCATTAAAAAAAACAATAACAGTCAGTTCAGGTGTTTTATAAAGTATGTGAATCAGGAAATTGTCTATATACCAAACTGAGCAATTGTTGTTCTCTACTTCAAAAAACAGTTTAGATTTTAAAATTAAAAAATAATTATAATTATTTTATTACTATTTCTTCTTTTTCATATTTTTTTATCTAAAAAGTCAAAAACATGGATGCATAAAAACCTAAATTATTCCATTGTTAAATTCAGTTTGAAATAACAGATTATAATTAAAAATATCTCCGGACCTTTACTGGTTGCTGATTTTCTTTATTCGAACCCCACTGACTTTTTAATTGGTTACTCTTGTTCTACAGTGTGTCTCTACAGACTGAATCTATTGATAATTATTAATAAAAAAGCTCAGATTTAGTCAGCTTTAGGTCTGGGCTGTGATCGGGCCATTTTAACACACAAATGCTTTAACCCAAAGAAGGGCTGGAGAATTAATTGTCTTTGCAGTATAATCCCACAAAAAAAAAAAAAAAAAGATATCAAAGAGACACTTTATTTTGACCTTGGTAAGGTCAACCACAAAAAGACAATTTACTCACATCCACCCTTTAGGTGACTGTAATGCACCTAATTTGGGATTGCCTTTACACAGAAAGGAAGAAAGAGTTGCAGGTAGTGAGCAAATCCACGCATGCATGCTAGAATTAAGCACTTTTCCACAAAGCAGTGGATTCCTGGAACAATGAAGCCTGAACAACAGAGCAATTAAGGCCATGAAAACAATGAAACCCTTGACCCAAACATGTATACACTTGTGGTTAATGCAGAGGAATATAGTAATAAAATTGCAGCTTTGGTTAAGAAAAAAAAAGCAGCTACAAAGACACGCACAGCCCTATTGCTACTCATTCATGTTGTGTTAGGCTTTTGGTTCAGGTTTGTTGCAGTACTGAATCAATGAACCTCTGCTCCAGTACTTTACAGCCTCTAAATGTTTAGTCCATTATTGCACAGTTTTCTCTGCCCAAGCAGTATCTCTGTCCTACAGAAAGAAAGCACGTTCAGGGTTTACTTTGCAATGTTTGATATCTGCAAAGCCTAATCTGGGTCTCCTGTTACCTGACAATATATATGATCTGATTCCTTTTCATTTGAAGTAGGGCTGGCCGATACACATTTAAAATCTTATTATTAAATTGGGTGATATTGTCTTAATGATAAAATTAAAAAGTAATTCTCCGCAGTCTTTCTTAGGTAACTTTAAGGCTGTGACTGCTCACCACAGCCACCATGGCACCACAGTCAAAAATAATACTCCTGATGAATATACATGTTTAAGTTCATCAGGATACCAGTTATCTAAAGAAGTATGATTTATCATTTAACATCTTTTAGTAACCGTATTTGATCACATTCTTTACATTTCTCAATACCCCTCGGGGAAAAAATGTAAAAGAAAAACAGTAAAAATTCTGATAATTTCTGGAGGTTTGAATCCAGAAATAAAAAAAATCTAAATTCCTATCATGACTAGCAACTAATCCGAATACCTAATAAAGAGTTCCCTCTTGTTCATTCAAAGAAATTCTGATTTGTGGATAGATTGTCCCACCTGAGCTGTTGATCTCTGCAGCTCCTCCAGGATAAGCATGTGCCTCCCTGGTTAATGCTCCTCTTGTTCTCTCTGATATCTCACTGTTTAGCTGTTTCTTTTTCCAGATGGATGTGGGTTATTAGAATTGGATTAAAGGGGACAACATGCATGTCATGCTAATTAGATTCTTATTTCCAAAAAAAGAAAAAAAAGAAGCAGGTTTCCTTTTACTGCTATGAACAATTATCTGTCACTTAAAGTCTGTCTTAATATGTCCAATAATTGTAAAAATGTAACCTTTTTAACATGACAGGTAAATGGACTGGTGACCAGGAAGGACTTAGCCAGGTACCACCTGGGAAAACACGGATTGGAGGAGCTTCATTTGGCTCAGACATAATACAGAGATATGAACACTGATGGACAATAACCCACGTGATGCCTCAGAGGCCACCAGCCTTACCCTCAAATCTGAGAGCTCCGTTTCTACGCCACGATCATCATGTGAAATGAGTGTAAAAGAAATTATGTCACTTTGTTATTGAACATTTTTTAGATTTACTGCTTTTGCTTATTTTTCCCATCTTCAGTCATCTTTTCTTTTATCATGCTGGGGAGATCTACGTAAATGAAATCTGATTAGCAGAATCATTTCAAGCCAAAGCGGCTTCCTGCACACTTTGATTTATATTCCCTTGAAATGCGAACTAAACAACCCAGGAACCAGGTTTAGTTTAGCTAAGGGGGGATTTTAAAATCAAATTTCTCTGCATGTTTTTTTTTTATCCATCATCGAAACATTGAAGGATAGCTTTTGCTGTTTGCTTTTTCTGTTGAAACATTCGATTTTCTTTTTTTTTCTTTTTGAAATCATTTTTCAGGTGTTTTAAGTTCAAACAGTTGTTAAAGTAAGTTAATATTGTGTTATTGTTGGTTCGAAATGAGAGATGTTATTTATTCATGTCAAAGAGCTGTTTTAACTTAAAGACAATAGTGTGGGTTCATGCATAGTTTTTTGTTTTTACCCCATTACTGCCTCTTTTTCTGTTTACCGTGCAAAAATACCCAATGGTAGGAACTTATTTTCTTTAATAAACCACATCTGAAGGTTTGCACTTTTTCCGACAGTCAGTCCGAAGATACGTGTCATGACGTTTAATGTGAATGTAAGTTTTGGATGAATATATGTTGGTCAGAAACCGGAACCGTTTGATTTGAATGTCAGTTTGTACATTTCTTTTGTCAACAGTGTTAAGTTTTTGTGCACTTTGCTGTTAAATCTCTTTGATTTTTTTTCTTTTATTTTCTTAGTTGTACAACATTAAACAGTTTACTGAGCTCTATTTTTAACCACTAGAAATGCCTTTTGTGAAATAATAAAGTTGGACATTATTAAAGTTCTTGTACATTTTGATTGAACGGTAAGCATTCAAAAGTGAAGTCCAGAAAGTAATATTTATAAATTTATTACATGCAACGGCATGGATTTCAGGTTTTTATCACTAGTTATTGATGGATATTCTTTAATGATTATTAGAAAAAAAAATGAATGTAGTTTTATAGATAATGAAATGTTCAACAAGAACACACAAAACTAGAATTTAATCTAGCATCTGTGTTGATGCCTACGCATTTATTGGTAATGGAAAGTTTCCCAGCAATTTTTTATATATTTTTTTTTGCTTTAAGAGGGCTGTGTTTAAGCAATGGAAAGTTTAAAGAAAAGGTAAAAAAAAAATGCAGTAAAAAGAGATGCCTAAGCAGCAGAGATTACTAATAAAGTAAAAAAAAACAAAAAACATTGGTGTTATTTTTCATCAGGACCTGTCATTTAAATTCCATATCAAAGAGGCTTCTAGAATTTTCTTCTTTCATCCCTGGAATATTGCCAAAATAAGAACTATCCTGTTCAGGGGTGATGCTGGGAACTAGTCCATAAATTTGTTGCTTCAAAAGTTCTGATGAAGATTAAAAAGTGAAATATTTTTCCCACCCTAGCTTCCGTTCACTAGCTTCCTGTAAAATCCAGAATAAAATGTAAAAACCAGCTTCTAACATGCAAGCCCTCAATAATGGAGCCCCATCTTATATCAGAGCTCTGATTGCACCTTATTTTCCTAACAGAACACTTTGCTCTCTGTCTGCAGGATTACTAGTGGTTTCGAGAATTTCCAAGAATAAAATAGGAGGTAGATCTTCTAGTTATCCGTCTTCTCTCCTGTGGAACCAACTACCAGTTTAAGTCTGTGAGGCAGACACCCCGTCTATTTGTTAGGGTAGGCTTAAAATGTTCATTTTTGGTAAAGCTTATAGTTAGAGGGGCTCAGGTTATCCTGAGCTATCTCTATAGTTGTGCTGCTGTAGGCATAGCCTGCTGGAGGACTTAGGGACCCCTTATCATCCTCCTTCATTCATTTGAATTCAGTTTATTTATATTGCACCAATTCACAACACATCATCTCAAGGCACTTTACAGAGAGACAATTCAACCAGACCATCCCTTTAGATTGGTTTATTATTTCCATCTAGGGAAAACCAGCAGATTGCATCCACTTATTGAGTCAGGCCGATGAGTTCCCAGCCAGCTACCATGTCAGAGGATGGAGAGAGCACATGCATACATGCGTAGTAAAAGAAACAGGACACTGAAAAACAGGCCAGGTTCCAACAAATGTATCGACAAAGGTGTTGATGGTAGCAGCACAGCTGATATCTCTCTGGGATGGTCTGGGATGGTGTCACAGCCAAACAGGAACAGAGCAGATGAAGCTACTATGACAAAAAAAGCAGACAGCACATAACATTGGAGATTGAACTAACAAAAAGTGCTGAATTGGAGGAAAGAGGTACTGTAGAATGCAGCAGAATGTTGGTCCTATGTTCTCCAGCCTGTTCAGCCGTGACATCATCCTGGAGACAAAATTCAGCTGTGCTGCTGCCATTGACACCTTTGTTTATAGATGTTCGAGCTCTGCCTGTTTTTCAGTTCAGTCCTGTTTCTCTGACTGTGACTGGCTGGATGTACTCTCTTCATCCTCTCACATGGGGGCTGGCTCGGAGCTCGTCTGCCTGGAAGCGGCCGCCTGAAAAACTGGTTGACAGTTGCCTTTGTTATCTCTGCTTCTTTCTGTTTGTCTGCTTCTGTCTCCTTGAACCCCAGTCAGCCTCAGCTGATGGCCACTCATATCGAACCTGGTTCTGCCAAAGGTTTCTTCCTGTTAAAAGGGAGTTTTCCTCTCCACTGTCGCTACAAGCGTGCTTTGTGTGAGGGATTGTAGAAGAGTCAATGATTCGATGCAATCAGCTGGTTTTCCATAGATAGAAAATTTTGAACTAATCTCACTGTATGATCTGGTTCAATTGTCCTTGTAAAGTGCCTTGATATGTTGTGAATTGGCACCATATAATTAAACTATATTGAATTAAATCTAAAAAATATGCTTTAATAAATATTTTCAAATTTAAATATTAGTGCATGGCTGTGCTTGTAAGGGATGATAAATTATTTTTATGAACATTCACAATTAATATCTTTAATCCCCACCATACCAGCAGAGGGAGCACATGTACCAAAGATATACCTAAACTATATGGTGAAAATATCACCATTGAACATGTTTGATTACATCATCTACTTGATTTTACAGAGATTAATTGGTGACACAAAATTAAACGGTACAAATACTTACAAATACAAGAATGATGTCTAAAAAGGAGATGTTTGAAGAGATTGTGTGATTATTTTGGTCACATGTCACTTTTTATACTTAAGATAATACAAGTTGGTTTACTTAGACAGCCCAAATAAAAGTTAGTTAAAAGCATTAGAAAAATAATCTCTTCTTAATAAATGCAGTAGTATAATTTTCATAGAAAAATTTGGAAAAATCAATGAATATTTAAAATGATAAATATAATAGCCATATACAGTACAGACCAAAAGTTTGGACACACCTTCTCATTGAAAGGGTTTTCTTCATTTTCATGACTATGGAAATTGAAGATTCACACTGAAGGCATCAAAACTATGAATTAACACATGTGGATTTATATAATTAACAAAAAAGTGTGAAACAACTAAAAATATGTCTTGTATTCTAGGTTCTTCAAAGTAGTCACCTTTTGCTTGGATTACTGCTTTGCAGACTCTTGGCATTCTTTGGAGGAGCTCCAAGAAGTACAATTTTCATAGTCATGAAAATAAAGAAAACTCTTTGAGAAGCTGTGTCCAAATGTTTGGTCTGTACTGCACAAAAAATATTAAGAAATTAAAAAAAAAAATAAATATTTAAACAGAAACCAAATAGTTATTTTCAACCCCATTTCCTGAGGTAAAAATATAAAACCATTTTATTTATTTACCTACTTCTTGCATATAGAATTAGAGCAACAGCTAAACAGTGTCCGACACTCTGAACTTCAAGCAAAAAAGTAAATAATAAATATTCATGACCTACCAATACTTGAAGTTTAATGCTAATCAGAACAATCTTTTTTAGAATTAGAGCATTTTTTAATCCATTTTTGAAATATTTAACAATAACTGCCTTGTTGCCATTTATTCACACCATTTAGTAGATGGCAAAAGTTTTATTGACGTTATAGCAATGAAACTTACCAGAGATAGCATTTGTTTTTAGTAATACTCACACTGATTTAACACCCATAGAAAACTCTTTGTTAAAATATATAGAAAAGATTAATAGCTATTTTTACTCTTGGTTAACAATAACTAAACTTATGGATATACATCCACGTAGATTTTTTTTGCCCATTCCAATTACACAGAGAACCCCAAAAACTGCCTGTTAATGCCAAGAACTTTAATTAATCATACATAAATCAAAATGTCAAAATATTTAGAGGAAATTCAAGTAACCCTTTATATGGTGATACAACTCAATGTTTACTTCCTATTTAAATAGCAAGAAACAGAGGGTATTTGAGAGTGAAATAATCAAAGATGGTTTATGTGCCTTTCAATTTGGGTCTTTATCTAAAAATGAACAGTAAGAAAGTGAAATATTTATTCTAAAAATAATATAGGGATTTCTTTGGTTGAAATTAAAGAACATTTGCATCACCTCTTCTGAGCTTAAAAAAACATCTTGAAAG